ACACAGTTACAAGTGACTTATGAAAATTCCAGGTACCCGGTTAAGTAAAAACACACAATGCAGAGCAGGCATTGCCCATAACCAGTATGTTTCTCGCATTTTCCTTCCAATTTTCAAACCTTCATAATGTGCACAACTTATGAGAGATTTCTTGGAGAAAATTCAACTGGGAAAAATAGTAAACTGGCTTTCTTTAATTTATAAAACTGAAAAATTAGCAATGATTTTATTTATAAGTACTTCATTGTATGAAAAATATCTATCTAATAGAGGTCCCCAGTGTAGTGTCTAAGCCCATTTTATTTTTACATTATCTTTAGAGATGCAGAAGAGAGATGTGATCTGTAAACTAACGAACAACACTGTCAATACATCGGATCCCAAATATTGCTCTCCTTAAATTTCACAAGAAAAGGAAATGACCTCTCCATCAACAACAGAGAGGTTCTCATTGAGTTCAGAGAAGACAGATCAAAACAATTATGCTCAGAAACTCCCCCAATCCAAGCAATGCTGGCAGGCATAATCCATAATGATTTCCTGAGTGTTTCTCCAAGACCCTTTTCAAAGTCTCCTTAGAATCTCATTTTCATTCACAAAAGAGTCCTAGGGTTTGATTCAAGCATAGGAATTCGGGAGCACTTTTCCTATAGAGATCAGGGTTTGAGTGTGAGAACACAGTCTTCAAGGGGGATATTTTTGCATATAATCAAGCTGTTTAGTAGTTAAGAATCTATACTTACGAGGCACCATCCAATTCTCTGTGCTGTATTCTAACCCACAGAATACCAAGAATTATTTCAGTTGTTCTATCAGATGTGATGGTTTGTTAGACATGGACTCAGCTCTCAATAGTCTCCCAATCTCATTCCAGACATCATCTAGCCCAATTCCAAAGCACTTCAGATACAGAGCACTACCTCCTGTTATCCTTGCTAACACATGGTGGTAGTTCAACATTGGTCCTTTAGAAATCAAAATAAGTCACTGCTGCTACACAATCCTTCCTATGCCAGACCTCAGACACAAAGGTTGTGCTGCTTTCCTTAGGCTCAGCATATCACTGCAGTCCTTTGGAAGGCAAAGTGGTAAAAAACTAGCATAATTCCCCCTCCACACAGTATATCTGCCAATCACTGTTTAAAAGTTTCAACATAAAGGACTTAGTCACAAATGGTGTTGAGTTTTGTTTTCAGATTCAGGATGGGGAGATTTCAAGGGCAATATAGTTCAGTTGTTAATATGTTTTGAGTCAGTCAGCATCTTTCATCTTTCATTTAATTCCCTAATAGGAGATAATATCTATATTCCAGTCTCAAGGTATTATGTCTTTTGGATCACTGGGACAACAGCAAATGCAAAACATGGAAGTGTGTCTAATAAGTAAGTAATGAGAACTCTATTAGGCCCTTCCCTTGGAAACTGAAGTTGACCCCTGCAATTGTCCACAGAACATTCTAGAATAGTGTCTGCTATTGACACCAGGGAAGGCAATTTTCAAATTATCTCCCATAGGACAGAACTTTCTGTGGAGATTAAACTACTGAGACCAAAATCCACAAGGTATTTATGATAGGTGATACGAATATTTTAATAGAAGATGTCATAACCCTGAAAAATTGTGTCTTTAGTAATCTATGTACTATTAGCAACAATCCATGCATAGTGCCATGCATTTATAACTATTTGGTCATAAAAATATGTGACTGTAACTGTGATATTTACAGTCAACTTATAAAAATAAGTGTGGTACTGAATGGTAATAGTTCATCTCTAGCAATTCCCACACATCTGGAAGGATCAGCTGATTCTGGGAAAGTGTATGGATAATTACAGAATAGACAAAGCTATCACACTCGAGTCCAACATACAAGAAGGCTATTACAGCATCAGAGGGGCTTCACAGATGGTAATTCTTCATTTCTTGTCATAAGGTAAAACCTGTGAATGAATGTATTTCTGTGGAAATAAGTAGGAAATGAATGGGAGAGAAGAGCTTGCATGACACAACCAGAGAGGAAAAGAATTTCACCACAAAATATTCATGTGTGGCCTTCAAAGAGGCTGAAGGTCACTATGAGTATTCTCATCCAATGATACCTTTCATTAAAACGAATTCAGCATGGTGCAAATCAACCTTTAACCATACATTGCCTTTAACCATGGAGGTTAGAAATCTACCTACCAGACAAATCTCCTTCTGTAATTTAGATGTGTGCCTCTTTGAAACTTTTGAACCTGGACTGTTGAGGTTGTACTGTACATTCTATTCTGAATTTAAATTCTGTTGGGGGCAGGACACAAATTCACATTCCAGTTTAAGTACAGAAAAGTTATGAATTTTGCCAACTTTAAACGTCTCTCACCTTAAGGGAAAATACTTTTCAATTATATAAAATATTGCACAACTCTGTGATATTTCCCATAGGTTTCTTCTCCTTTAGGTTTGATTGGTAATCTGTTGATAGTTGGTAATCTGTTGATAGTAGACAGGTTCCTAATTTGGACACCATCAATAGTTCACACACAGAAAAACAAAAAGAACAAATTTGAAAAACTAAAGGGAGGTACACCCAAGCTACCAAACCATGCTGAGGTTGGGTATCACCTACAAATCGTGATCTCATACTTTAGGGTGCATATTGGCACTGAGAAAATGGGATTCTTGGAAATATCTATTTCACAGTGAAGTTGGGAGGTCAGATAATGTTCAGTTAGATTCTTCTGGGCTTAAATTGCTTCCTAGGACTTAGTTAAGGCATTTGGGGGTGGTGTATTAACTCTTCCAGAACAAAGAGTTCCATTTCAGTAAGTTATTGCTACAGATCACTAAAGAGTACCATGGTGTTCTGGAAAAGATAATGTCCCTTCCAAAATGCCACCTCTCCAGTCAGTTGAACAGTGAGAAAATCTTATTTATCTTAGACACTTTGATCCTTGAAGATACCTAAAAAACAAGACTTTCCCCATCCAAACAGAGGCGAGCTAGACACAGACATGCTATTAGAACTGCTCTGCAGGTTCAGCAGAATACACTGCTGTCCCATCTGTATTTGGCGGTGGGTTTGCTTGATTCTTTCTTATAAATCATCCTACCAACTTCTTAGCATCCTGAATGGCTTATGGTAATCAAGAAAAAAATGCACATTGACAAACTAAAAAAAAAAAACCAGATGAGTGAATGGCATCGTGCACACCATGGGAAGAAATACAGAACTTTTAAACTGAGTATCTTTCATCTATTGAAAGAGGTACCAAAAGTATTCACAAATGGCAGGTAATCTGTGAAAGAAGACCACCTTCCAACTCCAAATACAAGATCATGACCTGGAGATCAGTTAGTCCAAATACCTGTTCATCCTAGCAGAGCAGTTCATGAGGTAAAGGCTAGGGTTCTCTGGATACAGCTTCACAAACACAGTGAGAATGATAGATCTATGGATATGGCCAACTGTTTTCCATCCTCACATCTGTTGATATTGTGCCCAGAGTACAGAGCTCTGAAGATGTGGATCATTTCTACTAGAAACTCAGTAACTTTAAGGTAGGGCAAAACAAATTCCATTCAATGAATAAAATGTTACTCGAAGGCATTTTGCTTTAGAATATGTTCCCTCTTCCCTTCATGTTCTTGTAAACTCTTTATTTGTAAAAGTGTATTTAAAAAATTGTTAAACCTATCTACTCTATTTCCAAAGACTGAAATAAGGATGGGAAGGTTTGTGCCTACTTTTTGAATCTCTCTGAATCCATGAGTTTTGTTTTAGGTAATTCAGTTAAAACATACAACTGAAGTTGGTGGGGGGAAAAAGCAGCTTTCTTCAGGTAAAAGAGCTTAATAGCAGATTTTGTAATCATTGGAAGTTTGTTCTGTCCTACCTGGAAATAAATTATGTTACTGCTTGGCATGGTAAAAGGCATTTCCTAGTAATTTCCTCCAATAGCAAGCATAGCATTAATCTGAACAAGCACCCAGCAGACTGAGTCTGTCTGCTAGGGAGCAGTTTTAAATGTTTAACACAAAGAAAACATTTACCTCAGTACCTTTTCTTTTTTGAAAGAATTCAGCAGTGGTTACAGTTGACATGCCATCTATAGAGAGCTGTGATCACCTAGGAGGTTACTTCCTAAGTGACAAGGATAATGATACTGCAAGAAGCTACAAAATGATATTGCAGCAGTTATGGTGATACTATAGTGGCCATGGCCTGAGTGCATGTTCCCAGCATCAATGCAAAGAGCACACTAGAGTGAGTGGCATTAGAACACTTTCCTTAAACTAGGAGCCATTGATGGTGTGCCATGAGTGGTGATGGTCCCCCTTTGCTCTATTTCACTCTGTGACAAGAGTCTCAGCTATGTTTCCTCTCTTCTGTGTTAATTATGTTCCATGGCAGTACATTTTCACCATCTAGAATAAGAAAGTTGTAATTGTGGAATTCTCTCTCTCTCTCTCTCTCTCTCTCTGACACACATATAAACACATACAAACACACACACTTGTGTACTCTCACAGACAGACAGCATGTGTAAAGTGCTCATTTGCAGGTGTGTGAGCTCTCTACAAGCAGCCATATCAGCCCCCTCAAATACAGAGGACCATTAAAGGCCATTGGAAAGCCATATCAACTATGTAGTTTTAACATGGGACTTTAAACATCATCCATATAGTGAATAATTTAAATGCAAAATCATCCCAAGCTAGAATCTTAGTGACTGGCAATGTGCTATGTGGAGTCCAATGTGGCATTGCTGTGCACCTTGTTTGTCACACAGTTGAGTGCCACCTTGCTGCTGCCTAGACCCTGGGGTTGGTTGTGCGTGGCCGCCAATGAATTGTGTATATTTGGCTAAAGCTGATCTGACTCTGCTGGTCTAGGCCAAACTGTCTGCAAATGGGCACCTTCCTGCACGCAAACATCAATGTACATGAAAGACAACTCTAAGCATATGTATATATGGTATATATACATATATATGTACACATACAATGGGTTGGGAAGTCCTTTGGTTTAGACGGGATTAAATATGTACTTCCCAAGTGCATAGGTTTCCATTGACCAACCTGTTTGTTCAACAAGCAACCATGGAACGTGACATGGCAATTTGGGTATTTCCTAAGTTGTTTTTCCTATTTGGAGACCACCTTCACTCTCTTCTCCATCTTTCCTAAGCTTTGTTTTTGAAAAGCAGTTGCTTCTTTTGTCATTCCTTGGAAGAGCTCTAAGATCACATCTAGAGATTTATCTTTCGTGGAGAACAAGGTTGCAAAGAACATTCCCCCTGTTTGATTCTCTCTTCCCCCTGAGAGGCAGACACTGTCCCGGGGGTGCTCTCGTCTGACTTGCCTTGTTACCCCTGGCCAGCCCAAGCTGCTGAGGTCTGAGCTCCTCCTCCTGCATCTTGTGCAATACTGGAAAAAAAAAATACTGGAAAACTCCGCCCTCAGACTGTGGTGACATGATCAGGGTTCTCTTGAATTTCTATGCATTCAATCTCCTCTCTCTCCTTTCGTTTGGCACGTTTCTTTTTCTTGTGGTGCTTTTTGGAAGGAGGGAAAAAGGTTAGGAACACAGGTAAAATAACAAAACAGTGCAGAAGTGTGCAACCCCCGGTGAGCAGCAAGCATTTGAACAGTGTGAAGGTCAGGTTTGAAGGCACAAAGAAGAGGGGGACCAACCCAATAAGAAAAGAAGTAATATTCTGCAAAATGGCTGTCCCATGCTCTTGCAGTGAGCTTTTTATACATTGTGTTCGGGTGTGCTCGGTGGCTAATACAAACGTGTAAAGCAGGGGTGCACAGTGGTCAATGGCGAAGTTTAAAGTGTAGATAAGGCACAAAATAGAAATGCAGTCCATGTCGACATTCCACAAGGTCATTAAGCCCAGAACACCCAGCTCAATTGAGGTGACGCTAAGAATGAGCCAGAAGTTCCCCAAAGGGTGGATTACTAGGAAAAAAGTCAGGATTAACACCAGCAGCACACCAAAGCCTGCAATCAACACAGGCACGGTGACAGACAGGCTGTAGTGGTCCATGAACACAAAGGAGGGGTTGAACACAATGAACCGGATGCTCTTTGAAAGCGACAGGGGTCTCAGCTTTTCCAGCACTTCTATGACTTCCTTTTGCTTGTCTCTGCTAGTCCTGGCCACCAGGTACAAGCGGGAAGCAATGATATTGTTTTCATCCCCTGCTTTGGAGAAGATGATATCGTTTCGGAAGTGCTGGAACTCTGGCTTTTTTAAAAATGAACTTTGTAGGACACTGATGAAGTCACTTTTGTTGCTGGCACTGATGTTACTGGTTTTCAGGAACTGGTAATACTGGTCCACCCAGGACACTGTGGTGAAGCCACTGCAGAGCCTCTGAAGGTCCTCCTGGACACTGCTATTCCAGTACTCAAGGGGCTCGTAGATGTAGAACCCTATCACAGGGCTGTAGTTGCTGAAGTATCTCTGCTGAACCATGGCATAGGAAACACTTGGAGAATCACTGGCCAGGAGGTTGATGATGTTGGCTCCATCGCTGATCTGCAAACACCCCATGAAGGAGAAGGAAGCATAAATGAGATAGAGGATAACCACAAATGGCTTCACGTAGATGTTCGTGATCCACTCGTTGTAGTGCTCTCGGAGGAAGTGCTGGATGAAGTGGTGCTGGTAGGGGTCTGTCTCGTGGTGGGATGCCTGCTGGTGTCCATCACTCATCACGGCCTGGAACCACACAGGCTTGCGGTCCAGGTACTCTGCAGATGGGATCTTGCAGCAGAAGATGCTGTGATAGCGGTTTTGTTCCAGTTGGCCAGCGAAAACCAGGCAGGAGCCAAAGAAAGAGAAAATGTAGAAGTAGTTCAACAGGATAGAGACACACATGTTCTGGCAGAAGACTTTCACAGCCTCTATGTTTGTGAAAGGACTGGCGCCCATTCCAAAGGTGATAAAGTACAAGGAGCTGGTCATGGTGTAGGTAACCATCACATCTGAGTAGGCATCTGCCACCCTGTCTTTGAAGGGCAAATTCTCTTTAGTTCTCCGCCATCCGGACAGAAGCTCAAACACACCTTTTGTCCCATGACCTAGTGTTAAATAAAGAAGAAAAAGAAGAGTTGCCATTATTTTCTCCTATCATTCAAGTGAGTTCCTTACAGATTATCTATGCTTACAGCATGTGTTCTAATCTTCAAAGTGCCAGGATCTGCTCATCAGAATCTCAAACTTTGAGTTACACACAGGATATATTTGGTCCCTATTTCCACTTTAGCAAACCTCACATTTATTGGTATTCTGAGTAAAACAAAACATTTGTTGTCTGTTCTGTTAACCTGACAAGGTGTAGACATGATGTTACACTATCATGTGCCTTTTTCCTGCACATACATTATCTTCCTAGATAAATCACAAGTTCCAAGAGCAGGGCTATTGTGTGCATCTTCAGCATTTATTCCAGTGCTCAGTCCACTGATTCATTGACTTGTCCTCTCTAACCCTCATTTCAGACTGATTTATGTGCTGATCTAGGAAATTACAAGATGATGTTAAACACTTAAAATGGATTTAAATTGATTTTACAATGTTAATAACCTGCTTGCTGGCCAAACACCTCATACCCAATAGATTCAATTAATTAACAATTGATGTGTATCGAAAAGATCTTCCAGGTCACACAGGGAGGGATCTTCAGGGGGAGAAGTCACATCAAACCATTTCTCCAGGCTCCTAGAGGAGCCTTTGTATGAAAGGATTGTATGGTGACTGCCTTTACTACTTGATTTACACTGATGAAGAATGCTTCTTTTTAATGAACTTCTGTGTATACTTTCATATGGGTAAATAGTGAAAGCATTTATTCAACAAATATTACTTGAAAAGTAATTATGTGGCAGACTGTTAGCTTCTGAGCTGTTATTTTCAGGAATCTGACAGCACTTAAGATATCGTCTCTTCCTTATTGGCAAAAGAAGAACATAACTGGGAAAGCAAAGATGTTATACCAGATCTGTAATTTTTCCTTTTCTCTGCTTCCCTGAATTGGATCTGTCAATCACCATACACAATATATCAACTGGCAGCTTTCTGAGTAAGTAGAAATCTTCATAGGTTACTCTTGCCCTATGGGCATTGCAGTCCTAAACAGGAAGCTTTTCTGTGAATGGCTACAAGATGTGGCTAGGCTGTTCTCCAAAAAAACCATTAGTGATTCAGTTTAAAAGCACAAAATGATCCAGTTCAAAAAACTTGGAAAATGAACCAGGTGTTATGCCTAGATATTGGTGTTACATACCCAATTCACTTGGTAGTGCTTTAATGAAAATATGATATCTAGGGCCTTCTAGTGGTCCTCCTGAATTTGTACTTCTTGGAGACTTTGCTAACTGACTGACACAATTTTTTTCTTTCTTCCTTACTTTGAGACTGCAGTAAAAACTTTATTTCACAGACTGCTTTTCAACTAGGGATGTTTCACCACACGTATTTCTAGACAATGCAGTGTAACTAGAAGTCCTCTAAGGATACTTATTAGAAAACCAGAAAGCACGTTTTCCTAGATGATATCTTAGTGCCCCCAGTAAGAGTGCCAGTATTCTTTTCTTTGGAACTCTCCTTCAAGAAAACTAAATCTTCACTTGGCTAAACATGCTACTTGGCTGAACCTATTTTTAAGAAACAGTATTTTATAGATGAGTTAACATTTACCAAAATCTCTTTTATGAGGATCTAAAGCATCTTGTTTCATAATTAATTTTTCTAGCATTCAAAGATTTAAATGTATGTGATTCTAATCTTTGATTTTAAAGATTCACTGGCCAATATTTTGAGAATTGTTGTATTTTTAATCTATTTTATAGAGACCCCCAAAAAACAATAAAAATGATACAGAATTTCAAAACAAGATGATGGGAAATTAACATTTAATAATAATAATTCTCTCTCCATCCCAGAGAATTGTTATTATTAGCTGTTAGGGAAAGGAAGGTGGAAATTGGAGTTCATCTTACCTCAAATATGAAGCCTATTTATTCTCCAACACTCTCTGGATTGCTAATCAGGAAAGATAAAGTTATCCTAGCAACTAGAAAGAATTATAAAAGTGTGGTTGAGTTAAAGGCAAATATTTTTTATCCCTTTTTTTTGAGGCAATGATCTATTTCTTCATGCTTTAAATTATGAATTCAATATATGCATATTGAAGTAAGTCTAACAACTCTTAAACAACATGACACTTTGAAGATATCAGTACGTAATACAACTATTGTTAATTTTCTATCACTTTGTAACTCTGTATTGTGTGTATTGTTCTTATGCTATTTTGTAAATGGATGTCTGTTTGTTAAAGTGTTTTCCTTCGTTTATTTTTAAAATAAATTTAAAAAAACTAACAGCATGAATTATTCATTCTTGTCTTCTGCAAGACTCCTTGACAAAACAGAATACTTTGTCTCTTACTCTCTAGATAAAAATAAAATATCAGGATAATGGTAAGGTAGTTACTTAATTAGAGCACCTCTTTTTGGAAATGAGGGCTCTTGTTATCTTTGTAATCACAAGGGGGAAGGCTACATGTTTCTCTGTCTAAATTTGGCTAGCCTTTGCTAATGGTCATTTTAGTGGAACTCTAGGGATACTGGTATGTAGGCCAGATGTTGCTCTATGCAGTACAAAGGTCTATATGTCTGAAAAAATGAAGCTAAACTATATTACTGTTTAGAGCAATAGAGACTGGAAACATAATATCCAAGCATGATATGTTTTGTCTTATTTTTTCTGATGCTGTCTAATTCATTTTTTTGTTATTCCTGATTGTTCCATTTATAAAAGTCCTACACCAATTTAAATGCTGCACTCAGATCAAGATACTGGTGTCTATACAAAAAACATGGGCCACCACCTCAGATGAATATACAAAGATCAAATATAAGTGTCACTCACCCAGTTGTACAGTGATCTAGATTATGAACCTTGTTTTCTGGTCCTGTAACAGAAAATGCCCCCACCCGTAAGCCAGTATGCTTCAGTTTGTTAGTTGCCCAGGTAATAGTTCCGGTTCCAGTTCTGGTTGCTCCTGTCTCTTAGAAACAGCTGGTCACCGTGATGCACAGCTGGTCACTGTGATGCACATTGTATAAGCCAATCCCCAACTGACAAACCATTCTGCCTCTGTATTTCCTGCCTGCTTATCCCATGTAAGCCCTAGACCACCAGATATCAGGGCCTGATATTTTGGGAATGATTCTGATCAATGCCTGTCAACATAAATAAATCTGCCTCAAAATCCCGGGTGTCATTTCAGTGTTTCTGCTTGCCTTTGCAGTATCTCAGTCCTGACTACTGTTTTCTCACTGAAACCTTTTTCCTCATCTAAGTCCCCGGCTTGTTTTAGGAAGAACTCCATTCAAGATCCTGACTAGTTAGAGAGTAATACACATACGTGATAATTTTTCTCAAGGCAGAGATCAACTTGGTGGTACAGTGAGTTAAACTATTGTCCAAATATGTATTTATTTAAGGTTTCAAAATTTTGTTCATGACTTCTTTGCACTACATCAGTATATATTTCAAACTTGGAACAATCCAAGTCACCCACTTGAGGATTGTTGGATAACAGAAAGTTCCTTTGCTAAGGTTTGGTGACAGACAGGGTGGAAAAGAGTTGGGAAGGGGAGGAATTGTGAAGAAAATTCAAGGAGGAAGATAATAAGAAATAATAGATTGTGTGTACATATATGTGAATTAACTTTCCAAAGTCTTGAGGGATGTTGTAGGGAAACCTCTTTCTAAGTGAAAGCAAGTAGAAGTCTTATCAATATAAAAGAAAGCTTAAAGGGCAGCTTGTTAACACATCATACTTAACAGTGATTTAAGGAGCTCTGCTGTGTGCAGTCGAGAAATAAACAAATGAAGACCACATGGGTTCTTTCTGTGGTCATGGTGGTACAAGTCTATCAGAGCAAATATGTAAATACTGAAAGTAAGGAATAAAAATTTCTGAGGGAGTGAGTTCTGAGCAAGATGGATAATGCTCAGAGTTAATTTTAGTTCCAGTGGGTCCTCAAGGAATCATCTCCAACAAGGAAAAACAAAGGTGGATCTTCTCTGAGAACCTGGACCCGCCTGGACTAACATTCCTGAATGCTCTGCCCCTCCCTGGGGAAACTTCCACCTGTGAATGTACTCATACCGCTGTAGGATCACTCTGGTGACAGGAGAGGCAGAAGGTGGCTTTTTTCAGATCAATAAATGTACTATAATTTTTACAGATGTCATTTTTAATCTCAAAATCAACCTCTCCAAAACCCATGAATCCAAAGAAAATTGTTTTAATAAGATTCAACTCTGATTGGAACTAATCATAACTGATGCTATCAGTACTCCCTATTGGTTTTTTCTCCTGTATGTTGTTTTAATAAGCACCCTCTGTGGGTTCCCTATGGAAAAGGGGGAAGCATTTACCTTGGGAGGGCATTCTGTGGGCCTCCCTTTTGTCTTGAAAATGCTATGCTCTCAGCAGGACATGAGAGCTTGATACCTACAGTAGATACCCAAGAAATAGAGGCTAAAAAATGCAACTCCCATGACCTGATCTGAGAAAGCTTCCTGCTTTCCCTTAGGAGCTATTTCTCCTTTGGCTAACTGCTGTTTGTGAAGTTCACGTCTAAGCACAGGTGGAAAAAGCCTTTTGACTTTGTGTTAGGCTTTTAAGTTCTGTGACATCCTTAGAGCAACCATAAGCAAATAATAGATGGAAAAATAAAATTTTAGTCAATTAAACCTGCTGAGGAGTTGAACAAAACATCTAGGTAGTGAATGAACATTCTGAGTTAACTTTCACTCGTCTGTATTGCAGGGGTCACTTGTTCATTTTTCCCTTTAGTTGGCTGATTCCTACTTAGCGTGATCTCAAGCATAAGTTTAGCACAGAGCACCATCCTGCTGCTAACACCTTCCCTCCGCCCTCTGCATCCCACCCTCTAGCATAGGAGCTGCTTGGTCCTGTCTCCTGTACCTGTGCCCATCATGGTACATATTACTGCACCCAGCTGGAACTTTCCATCGGTAGAAGCTTCTCATAATCTTTTTC